TTCCTGGTTCTGTCTCGAAACCAGAACATGTTATATAATACCAAACCAGCAAATTCTATACTTTGCCCGAGATCAATTTTGCTAAGAACCCGTTTACAAAACATCAAGAAAAACCCATGCATAAAAGGTGAAATTTTAACATTGTAAATATATATTTTTTTAATTGCAATTGTAGTTTTTAATGATATGTATTTGCCTAACCCTCTATATATTAAAGAATTAGGGATCGTTCACGCGTTGCGTGGATTTAAAAATTAACATGATAAAATATGAAATAGTTTTTAGCTTACTGATTATTTGTAAATTTAATATTAAAATAATTTGGTGTTTATAGTAAATAATTATTTAGATTCGAAGATTAAACATTTGTAACAAATTATTGATACATTCTTATATGTAAAAATATCGTTCATTAATAAAAATTTGTATATGAATTGACATAAATTTGTAGGAGACATGCATATATTATGTGAGATAATACAAATGTAAAGTAAAGTTAAAAACTATGTTTGGTCTTTTTTTCTTGCATATCAAACACGTTGGTAAAGAAATTCATTGATCTTCATCATCTCAACAAAAATGTTGAAATGTGTTTCTATGTTTATTTCGTTAGAACTTTGAATCGTAAAAAAAAGAATAATTATTGCTTGATTGTATTCTTATTTTTCTGTTGATTGTTTTGCTGTGATTTTTATCTTTCACATTGATTTATTGGTGAAGTGAATTCTGTTTTTGTCATCATGATTACAGTATGGAAAGAATAATAAAAATAAAAAGAGTTTTTCTCAATTCACAAAAATTTTAGTTACACTAACTTGTTATTCAGTTTAGAGAAAAAACTTTTAAATCTTAGAATTTTAATATAGTATATTGTTAGGTTCAATAAAAAAATATCTATTTTCCAAACCATTAAAATTTTATAAGAACATATTTAATTTGGAATCATATTTTTTTCCAATATAAAAAAAAAGACAATGTCTAATATATATGATAACTTATTAGAATTAGTTACTGAAATTAATTGTCTAAGTTATTAGAAAGAGAAAAATACTTATAATTTTTATTTTCTTTTGAATAAATAAATTAAAAAGACACGTGACAAAAAAATAGGTGACACATGACAGTCTCTCATAATTTCAACTAAAAAACCTTACTATATTATATAAGCATTCTAGGCCAAATTTGCTTAGGTGCATTACCACAACTTTTCTCAAACTTTTTTTAATTAAAATTCTATAATTAACTCCTACTACTATACCACTATCCAAGCACTCTTTATCACACAATCCCTATAACCAAACATAATTGTTTTGTTTACGTATCCATCTTACAATTGTACTCAATCTTTTACCAACCACATTCAATTCCAAAAAAACTTATCTTCATTTAGTCTAATCTCAATTGCCAAACACATTAAAATATTTATAGTGTTCCCTAAAACAATTATTCAAAGATTGTAATATTAGTTCTTACCATTAAAATTAAACCAAAATGAATATATATTTCGACAAAAATATATAAAAATTAATCTTGATTTAGTTTAATGACCAATTAACCGAATTTGTATTTTAAGAATTATATTAGTACTCTTATAATTACTCTAAACGTGTAAGATTCAACTTATATTTGCAATTTTTTATTTGTATATTTGAATCAGATCTTTGAAGCTACATTTTATTAAACAAATATTAAATCTGTTGCTAAACAAATATATTTTATTAATGACTAATATATAATGACTAAAAAATTAAAAATCCGTTGTTTTCAATTATTTCACTGGTAGAAAACATTTCTATACAAAATATTTGCCAAAGTTATGTATATAAAATGGGTTTTGGAGTTTTACTAAGATAACACCTAAAACGGTTTATGACCTATTAATTAAATCCGAGTTTGTATTTTAAAAACTATATTATTACTGTTATAAGTACCCTAAACCTACAAGATTCAATTTATATTTGCAATCTTTGATTTTGTATATTTAAGTCATAAATCGTATTTTTGAAGATTATAATATTAAATAAATATATCTTATTAATAAATAATATATATTGACTAGAAATCAAAATAATTGCAAAATATATATATAAAACGTATAATAATTTTCTCAATAACTATAGATAATTTTTTTAAATTATTATATTGATTTGACTCGCTAATTATATTATCCCGCATATAACACGGGTAATTTTCTAGTTGGTATTGTATGGCTGCCCTTTTTGTCCGGATGTTTTTGTCTTTCAGATATAAAATTGAAAGAAATTCAACAAAAAGAAACGTGTGGGTTGAGGTTGGGCCCAAATGAAAGAAGCCCAAATATGCGAGCGCTTGAAGCTTAGCAAGAAGCTGAGGTCATGGTTAGTCCGCGAAAATGGCGTTTCTCTGTTCGTCTCTTCCAAGTTCATGCTCTGTCTCCATTTTCAGCGATTCAAGCACAGATGTATCACGGTTGATCCCTTCCTGCAGGTTACGGTTCCGGTTACGTCCTGTCGCTGCCTCAAACGTTTGTGTTCCATCGATCGACAGCTCGACGTTCATCGTATCCGAAACTGTGTCGGAAGATGAGCTTTGGGCTGCTGCTTGCCTCCGCGTGCGTACCTTCAACGAATTGAATCCTTCTGCTTACAATATCCAAGTCAGTTCTTCTTTCGATTCGCTTTTTCAGAATACTTAACCGGTGAAGTAGAGCAAATCTTAGCATGAATGCTACTCCGTTAACTGTGAATCGATAGTTCATCGCTGAAAATTGATGTATAATATAAAGATCTATTAGGACTGGGAAGTCTAGAAATCATTGGTTTGGAATGTGTCTTTGAGGGTTTTCTCGTTAAGACTATTTGGTTTATTGTTATTGTGCTGATGTTACATTTTGCTGTTCAAGTTTCATTAGGATCATAGAAAATACTTGGCAGAGCGTGAGTTCGAGGCGCTTAAGGAAAGGATTTCAGGAAAGAGGGAGGGGTTTACTCGGGTCTCCTGCGTAAATGCTACCCTTCCATTGTCCCAACTATCATCAAGCTCGTCTCAAGATTTATGCTCTGCATGTAAGGTCTGTCTATTCAATTGCTCATAAGGGTTTCTTGTATTATCCCTAGTTCTAATTGACGTTTCAGTGTTTCTACCTTGTCTAGATAGATTTGTCTTGTTGCTTTTGGGTTCTGATATGGATTTGTGTTGTTGCTTCATCCGTTTCTCTCTCAATCATTTGTTTCTCAGTTCTCTGATGGCATAGAAGATAGAGTTGTGGTGGGGAGCCTTGATCTTAACCAATGCCGTTGGCTACCTGATGAAATCGCTGGAACAAAACCAGAGGTAATTGATGTTTCCAACAACAGCAAAAAAAGTAATCCTTAATCTGATAATGGACAAATCGAGAAGCTTAGTGTCCTTTCTGTTTTATAGGGGATTGGTGTGGATTTTGCGAGAGCATACTTGAGCAACGTCTGTGTTGCAAAAGAGCTTCATCGTAATGGAGTTGGTTACAAACTCATTGAAAAGTCTAAAGGAATTGCTAGAGAATGGGGTAAGAGAGCATTTAATCAAAACTCATTAGACTTGTCCAATTGGAAGTTAACAAAATAAGAGCTGTGAATGGTTCAGGCATAACGGATATGTACGTGCATGTGACGGTGGACAATGAAGCCGCAAAGAGGCTATACATGAAAAGTGGGTTTGAGCAAGAGAGTATCGAGCCCGCGTGGCAAGCTCGATACCTAAACAGACCACAACGGCTCCTCTTGTGGCTCGCACTCCCTACATCTTGAATCATAACCATGTAAATCTTTTTCATTTGTCCAATCTGTATAATACATATTCTTGGCAATCAATAAAAAAGCTTTTATTTCAAGGTTTGTGATATTTTGTTCTTGTCGTTTTGAAAATTTATTGTACTGGTTACAAAATCAAACCTTGGAAACACTTTTGGCTTTGGTTAGTCCAGTGTCGTGTATAATGAAATGGATATTGTTTTTGGTGGTGGTTAAAACGACGGCGTTTTCAGTGGCATTGATCAATATAAAAGATGGAAGAAAAGCGCCTTGAAAATATGAAAGGCTTAGAAATGGTGGTGACGTCTGTCTCTTCACCGCCGCCTATCTTCTTCTACTTCCTTGGACCTGATCCTCAATTTTCTCCTTCCAATGGCCGAATTGCAATTCCTTCGTCGCTCTCTTCCTATAGTCTGGTGTAAGTTTCTCTCTCTTAAATCCTCTCTTTATCGAATTACATGTCCGATTTTCGGAATGAACAGCCTCGTGATTCTTGTTCTGGGTCGCCACTAAATTCTCTGTTTTTCCTTTGAATTTATAAAACCACAACTTAATTTGGGGTCACAGTGAGATTTCTCAATCTGTTACTTCGATTTTTACTGGTACGGATAAGTTTTTGTCTATGAGTAATGCCTCAAATCCATCTCTCTTTTTTTCCATTATCTATCATGTTGAAGATCCAAGTATAATCAAGTGAACAGTTTATTGTCTGGTAGCGGTTTCATTCCAATTGGATCTGTTTCATTTTCACATATCATCGTACTTATAATGTGAATGTTTGGGATAAGTTTACTATCTCATTCAATTGGCAGTTATTATATTCATTCATGAGATGAGCATTCCTCTAATTCCGCATCTTGCATTTCTTTCTTTACGTACATACTCTGTGTTTGTTCCATTACCAGCTTTCTTTTGCCTCCTCTCTTGAATTCTTTTATGACAATTGTCTATCTTAGGTTGGTAAGACCATCAGGAACAAGTATCCAGGCTTGCTTTATCATGAGGTCTTTTGATTTTTTTTTGTTTTCCCAATTCAGAGTCATTGATCAAGTGTTATCATTGCATTTCATAATTAGTTCATGAGCCACTATATTCATGATATATTTGTATGGTTTCTCAGAAAAGGACTAAGAAGACACCAAGATGCAAACTTGGTTGGAAATAGGGCCAGAGGCGGAGTAGTTCGTGTCCTGGCGAATCCAAATGTATAACCTTAACCCCTTTTTGCAAGTGCTATATAACATTTTCCATAACGTAACGC